TCTCTAGATCTCATTATCACCAGCTTACATGGTGGGGAGGGGGAAGGGGGAAGCGTGGAACACTGAACACTCAGGATGCAGGGCGGCTCTAACAGAAAGGGAGTGATTCTGCAGGGAAGAAATGACTTTCTCTCTTCATAAATAAATGACATTAAGAGTGAGCACATGGGGAACTGTTAGTGATTAAGGGCAGTCTAACAGACCCAGCAACCTAAATGCATTTTATCTCCATTAAATCCTGTTTCTAACAAACCAACTGTAGAAAAGGCATTTCCAAGGCAATTGGGGGAAATTGTTCAGGGACTAGGTAAAGGATAATCAGGAAGGAATTGTTTACTTTGTTGGGTATGCTCACAGTATTATGATCCAGGTTTTTTTTTTTTTGTCCTATTTCTTAAAATAGAACTTTGTTTTGAGGTGGTTTTTGGTTTTTTTTAGATTTTTTTTTTCTTAAAATAGGACTTTCAACTATTTAACTCATTTCAACTCGATGGTACCTAACAACATTTTTAAAAGATACATCCTGAAATGCTTATAGGTGAGATGAAGTTACTATGTTTTGAAAATATATCCAGGTGGGAAAAATAGGGTGGAAAAGATGAAGGGAAAAAAAAACCCAGAATGACAGTAATTGGTTTTTCAAAAATTTTTTGTTATTTTAGGGGAAGTTTAGAGAGGATGGGTTTTCATTCATTTACTGACATGTTAGTGTTCCGTCCTTCCCCCAGTCACTTTGTAATGCACATCTTATTCCAGATTGTGAATTGTCATACATGTCTAATCATCCATTCCTTTCATGTAGCCCTTCCCTTCACCTATTCCAGTGTTGTGTTAATTATATGTCCATTCTTCTCTGCTCTCCCCACCCACGTCAATCCTATTTTTATAACACTCTTATGCAGTATTTGTCTTTTTGTGACTGAGATATTTCACTCAGGGTGTCATCCTCTAGACTCATCCCTGTTGTGTAGAGTTTTACAAGTTCATTGTTTTTCAGTGTTTTGTAATATTCCATTGTGTGAATGTACCACAGTTTTTCTATCCATTTGTTGACAGGCACTTGGGCTGATACCATTTCTTTACTACTGTGACAAATACAGCAATAAACATAGGTGTGCATACATCTCTTTGTGTCTTGGCCCTGATTTCTTCAGGGCCTATTCTCAGCACGAGAGCTGGGTCAGATCGTATTTCTATTTCCAACATTTTGAGCAAGTGCCAGGCTGCCTTCCATAGTTGTGTACCATTTTACATTCCCACTGGCAGTTAATGAGAGCTCCAATCTTTCCACATCCTTGTCAGCATTTGTTGTTTGCTGGCCTGTTGAGCTTTGCTATTGTTGCTGAGGTGAGATGATACCGCATAGCTGTTTTGATTCCCATCTCTTGACAACGTGACTTCAGCAACGAGCTCTAGTGTCTGAGAGGTGAGGACGGAGCAGGATAAGGCAGGTTTCAGATCAGCTGTTCCTAGGGTCTCTAGGAGTTGAACTCAACTAGACATCTAACAGCAGCTAGGGATCTTGAACATTCCTTTACATATTTGTTGGCCATATGACTTTTTTCTTTGGAGAAGTGTCTATTATCTTCTGCCTACTTTGTGATTCAGCTGTTTGCCTTTTTCTTGTTGAGGTGCTAGAGTATTCCATAAATTTTAGCTAGGAGTCCTTTATCAATAGATATATCATTGCCAAATTTTTTTCCCCCCAGGCTGTGGGCTTTCTTTTTATCCTGTTGAAGAAGTTTTTTGATGTGTGTAATGATTTGATTTTTAGAAGACCCATTGAGCTATTCTGTCCTCTCTGTAGGAAATGAAAGTGATTGCTGAAGATAGGTTTATCAACTAGGCTCATTATATGTTTATATTTGAACTTCTGAAAAATTTTTAAACTCATTTTAATGAAAGTTTACAGAGACTTAGGGTTTCCATTCATTCATTGTTGCACTTTTCTCCCTGCCCACTCCCTTCCTCCCAATTCACTCTTCTCCTTGAAAAGTAAAACTCTTTCATTGTTATACAGTCCCTCCCCCCAAGTCTACTCCACCATGCAGCCTTCATTTGGGACTCCTATCATGACAATAACACCTAACCATTTATCCCTATTAAATAGTTCTCCCCCTCATCTGATTCAGTGCAGTACACATCATTCCTCTCCTCCTTCTCTGCCTTCCCTCAACCCTGATATCAGTCCCATTTTACAAAAGTGGCCCTATGCAATAGTTGTCCTTTTGTGACTGAGATATTTCACTCAGCATAATGTCCTCCAGGGTCATCCATTTTGAATAATATTGCATGAGTTCCTTGTTTTTCAGTGCTGCATCATATTCCATTGTGTGACTATACCACAGCTTCTCTATCCATTCATTTGTTGATGGGCACTTGGGTTGTTTTCAACTCTTTGCTATTGTGAACAAAGCCACAATAAACATGATATATCTGTTTGGGTGGCGGTTATGGTTTCTTTAGGTATATCTGAACTTTTTAATTAAAAAACTGAATGCTGTCAGATACCATCGAGTCTACTTTGACTCACAGACACATCTAAATCCTTCCCTACTGTGTACCATCCGCACAGTATCTGACATGTCCATTGTTACAGTCACTGTGTCAATCCATCTCGTTCTGGGTCTTCTTTCTCTGACCCTCCACCTTTCCCAGCATCATGTCCTTCTCCATGGCCTGGCCTGTCTGAAGGCACAAGAAAGCCAATCCCATTGGTTGATGACACTAGGGAATGAAGACAGGGAGATGACCCCAAGAGGTTAAGGAAGACAATGGTATTGACTTATCCTGTAGGAAGTGTGGAAGACAAAGGGAAATTGAAAGAAACAACAGAGCAAACCAAGCCAGGAACCGAGCTACTGTGGAATAATTCCAATTCCAAGCGATGCTACAGGACAAAGTAGAATTGCCCCCCGATGCCTGCAGCTGTAAATTTTACATAAACAGCTGTCTTGTCTTTTCCCCACAACCTTTTCAGCAATCTTTCAGCAGCCCAACTTATGGTGAAGCTTAAGCCACTGCACCATTCGTCTTACTGCAGTGAAGATGGAACCAACTCACAGCTGACCTTCCACTGGCTTTTGGAAGCTGTAAATGTGAGAGGAGATTGGCCATCTTTCTTGTATGGAGAAAGGCACTAGTGAATTTGAACCAGCCACCTTTGGATAAGTAGCACAACTCTGTACCAACCAGGTACCAAAAGCCACCCTTATCCAGTTGCTTCCTCATCATGACAACTCTCCATGGGTCCCTGAGCCTGTACATCTTTACAGGAGTCTGCCCATTTCTCTCCCTTGGAGGGAAGTTGGAGTCAAACTGCTGACCTTTGGGCTAGGAGCTAGAAGCACTACTTACAATGCCATTAGAATTCCTTTTTCAATCAAGGCACAGTGGGGTTGAAATCATACCAAGCATGCTAGTCTCCTGCAGTGGTTACTAACGAGTGCTCACTCCATCCTTTTTAACTACACTGTAAGGAGTTGGGGAAGGCAAATGTCACTCTCCAGCATCCGGGCTCTTTCTGTCCTCTCCCACCAGCACTGGGGAATCCACTCAACTCAGAGGTGTGGCATAGCCACACCCCATCACGGCCAGGCAGCAAAGAATGCTGGTCTACGGCTCCATCTGCTGGTAAACACTGGGAATGGAGCCCAAGCAGCAGATGACTTGCTTAATGGGAAACAGACAAAATGCTAAGGGCTGCTCAGAAGAGCTGAGGATACCTTTGTAGAGATCTGGTCCTGAAAAAATGCAGATCCATCCCCCTCCATAAAGATAAACACATGCCAGTTAAACATATAAGAAGCCTTTAATTTCATCACCATAAACATTATACTCTGATTTATACATACAGTATAAAATATTTACTCCGCTAAATAAATAAGACATAACATTATTGCAAACGGCACTTAAGCCCCAGAGATAAGACCTCCTTAGCCTGGGGAGGGTGCTCCTGAGTTCCTGTGTGGGGTGCCCCAATCACAGACATGCCCTGGGGGCTGAGATGGACAAAGGCTGGTGGAGGCACACGCTGTGCTTCTGGTCCCTACAGAGAAGGCTGTAAAAGCCAAAGGGAAAAGGCAGGCTGGGAAACTCCCTCCTCAGCTCAGGCCCAGGGGGAGTGGGCAGTGGAAGGCCCAGAGCAAAGGAGAGGTTAGGGAGACCACCAGCCCCCACCTTCCTCCACACCCCTGGCCTTGGGTAACAGCATTTGGAATTTCAGTTGAGGTGAGTGGAGAGCTCCCAAGCTCCCCATTTGGACGGTTTTGGGGACCAATCACCCCAGGAGAAGATTCTGGCAACACTGAGCCCAACAACGTGCTATCTTCGGGGACCCAATTTTGGGGGACTCCTAGTACCTACCAGGCAGAGCTGGAATCGAGCCCCTTCCACTCTGTTAAATAAATAAGTTAAATATTTAAAGGCCTGTGTCCCTATGGTGGCAACACAGGGGCAAACAAGCCTTGTCCTGATTAAATGGTGGGGGAAGGAGGCGGTTTGTCAGCAGAAAGGCAGTATGGGGGAGGAGAGGGAAGACAGGGCAATCCTCTTTCCCCTCAAATAATTCTCGAATCCTGGTGGAGAGTTTCAGAGAAACTCTCATGCAGAAAAAATATTGGGGGACCTGCAGGATAAGGGGGCTTGGAAAGGGGAGACCAGCTGGCTAAGTTGACTCCATTCCCCAAATCCCTTCTGAGTATGTCTTGCCAAGGACACAAGCAGTTAACCCTGGAAATCACCTACAGTGCCCTGCGTTCCTGTGCACGGAGCTGGCTGACAGCCTTTCTGATCTCATCGAGGCAGCCTCAAAGTCTGGAAGAGGGAAGCTGCGGACTTCAGGCCCCATTTGTGTAGTATGCACCTCACTGCCACAGGGGGCAGCAGAGAGCGACACCACTTTCGCAGCAATAGAAATTTGAATGCCTGTTTGGGGTCACTTTGAGATTGGAAGGGGGACTGGCACCCTATGGGGCAGACCTCAATGAGTCTGAAGTGCTCTACACCGAGTATTTGGCCAAGTCATTCTTGTCAAATACTACCTGTGTGGCAAAATAAATAGCAACCAGACCCAGGCCTGCAGCTGACACCATATAAGCAGTGACAGACTGGCTAAGCTGGACAATGGAGCCCATGAACAGAGATGGGGCCACCTGAGACAGCAAGAAGGCACTGTCTAGAATGGCGAGGTCCAGGCAGATACCCCGGCCAGGGACAACTCTGGCCTCGGATGGCTCACCCACTACCACCCGCATGGAGACCTCACAGCCCGAGGTCCCGCAGAGCGACGGTGCAGGCGGAAGCATGCTGCTGGGCCCTGCACCTGCGTGTCCATTGGGGAAGGAAGTTCCAGACATGGGGCCTGGCAGGAAGCTGGCTGTCAGGCTGTCCTCACTGCCACCGCTTCCAGCATCCGTTCGGTATTTGGGCAGGAACACCTGGAGGGGAGAAAGGGAACAAAACCTGATGTGTATTCAGGACTAGGCTCCTCTGGCTCTGAGGACACTCCCTAACTTTCAACCCAGGGGTTGGAAATCAGGCCACAGGATTGAATGAAAATCAGGTAGAGGTTTGGAAGACTGAGCTGCACTACTTTACCTGGCCTAGTCAGGACTGTCCCTCTAGCCTTCCAAAGAAGAAGCAGACAAACACAGCAATGCACTTTAGGTACAGGAAAAGATACAGGGAATAAGGACAGAAGAATGACTGTGAGAATGTTGTTGTAGTTGTTATGTCCCATGGAGTATGACCCTCCAGTGGCTTTCCAGAGGCAGTTAATCACACAGGAATTGATTGCCCATCCTTCTGCAGATATGCTGCTGGTGGATTTGAACCACATACCTCTGGACTGCCAGTGCAACTCATTACCACTAGGCTACCAGAGCTCCCTAACAAGAGTGGTGGTAGGAACAGAAGAGTGAAATCCAAAGGCAGGGTCCTTGAATCCAAACACTCATGGGTGTCTAACTTTTCTCCGCCATCAGGCACCACTTTTCTCCGCCAACAGGCACCTGTTATGCACAGGAGGAAGCAGTGCTCCCCATAGGGGGGGGTTCCAGGCCCTAACAGGGATTGCTCCCCAAATCCCTTCTCTGGGTATGGCGTGACCTGGATGCTACATTTTAACTCTGAGCCTGGCATGTGCTCTGAAGAGACTTGCATCCCAGTGTATGGAGTCCTGTTTTCCTAGACTCCTCGCAGAAGTCCAGATAGAAGCCCATTTGGAGAACAGACCACCAGTCTCAAAGATTGGGAAGAAAGGCCACGGCAAGGCCCAGTCCTCACCTGTGAGGGTATGCACATCACCGCCAGAGGGTGGCAGCAGAGAGCCACATCGCTTTGGCAGCAGAGACCCTGGAAGGTCCAGGAGGCAGCCCAGAGGGGGCTAACAGGGAGGATCCATGAGCCTCAGGCCCGGGAAGAGGCACTTGGCTGCTCTTGTTGTTCAGAGCAGGGTTTGGGAAAGAACCAGGGGGAGGACGAAAGGGAACCACCTTTGTCCTAATGTCCACAGTCCTTCCTTCTGGCTGCCCTAGATCAGTGTCACATGTCTGTCTGGGGAGTACTGGAGACCTAGACGTGTGCTGCTAATCCAGAGGCATGAGATTCAAATCCACCAGCTGCTCAGCGGGAGAACAGGCAATCTCCTCCTTTGTGATTTACAGCCTCAAAAAAACCCACTGGAGGGTCTGCTATGGGTCGGTTCTGACTCTACAGTACAGAACACCAGCATGTCTGTCCACTCCTCCCTACTTGCCTCACCCTCCACTGCCCTTGATACTCTGCCTGCCAATTCCCAGTTCATTCTGACTCACAGCAAACCCATAGGCTCCCAGGTCGTAAGTATTTATGGAAGCAGCCAGCCAATCTTTTTCCCCACGATGGATTTAAACTGCCAACCTTTTTAGTAAGCAGCTGAGTCTTAGCCACTGCGCCACCAGGGCCCCTTCTCAACAGCCTCCTATTAAAAGACAAGGCAGGGCCTTATCTGGCACTGTCCCAGTGTCCAGCACAGCGTCTGATACTCAAGTTGGGTGGACTGGAGCAGGGGGACTAATGACAGAACTCAAACAAAGCACCAGAGAAGCCCCAACCAAGCTCATTATGAAGCCAGAGAAGCAGATCAAAGAGCAAGCCACGTACCCAGTTGTCTGGAAGGGACCTTTTGGGACCTGTCCCCTTAGCCCTCCTCCCACTCTAGGAGAAGTAGATGAGGGGTCCCTGGAACCAGACTTGGGGTAAACTGTGTGGCCTCAGCCATCCTCGGTCCCAAGCAACAGGGGAGTGGAGGCTGAGGAATCAAAAGGCTTGTGGCCACCTCCACGGTCTCCTGCTTCTGCAGCCACCTGCTTGGCTAACCAGCCTCTCTCATCACCTCTCATCATCGTCTACCTGCCCTCCCATCACCCAGGGCCAGTTCTTTTCCACTGTGAAGATGCTTGATGAAGGCAGGCCTGCATCTCCTGCTCCTCAGACACCCCCATTCTATGCCTCTCAGGGCAGCATTCCGCACCCAGGGCTGTAGCTCAGGGAGGCCCCACAGCGAAGAGGAAGATGAACACAGTGCTCAGGCCTGGAGGCTCCCCTGAGAATGGGGAGAAGCTGGGGAACGTTGAGAATGAGCAGGAAGGAAGCCCCTTAACTTTCAAACCCTGGGTGAGAGTATTGCCACATGGGCTAGTTGGCCAAATGGGTACTCAGAGGGCCAAAGAAAGGGCAGGAGAAGGGGGCCAGAGGCAAAGGAGTAAAGAAAGAACTGGACAGAAAAGGAAGAGAAAGCAGAAAAGGGGGGGGGCCAGTAAGGAGCCTTCCCCATCTGCAGAGGAAGCAGCTCATCATGCAGTCAGTGTCTCCCAGAAAAGCAGGGGCGTCTGCCAAGGCCAGACTACTCCCACTCTCACTGGCTGAAGCCAAGGTGCCCAAGGTCGTCTGGTGCAGGTCCCGCTCAGCTACACGGAGGGCTGAATGCCGGGGAAGGAATGCGTACTTCCTGCAATCATCCACTTAAGTGTGTTATAGTCCTGACAGCAGGAAGTCATTCCCAGAGTCTAATCTACACCCTTCTTCCGCAGTCCAGCTCCCTGGCCTAAGATGGGTTTCCTCTCAGATTAAAGAACGCCTTCTCCAAAGTCACTGGCTCTCTCCCCAAACACGCCCACCAGCAGCAGCCCCTGCAAGTACCTGCTTCTCGCGGTGGTAGAGTGAGGCCAGCGTGTAGGGCAGGATCTGCAGGGCTGAGAAGGTGAAGCCGGTGAGGGCAGCAGAGGCGGTCACCACGGCCACGCTGCGGGACAGGCACGTGGCGCCGGCAGCCACGGGGAAAGCCACCACGCTGGCCAGATACACAGCCCGGGTGCCAAAACGCTGCACCAGCCGGTCCATGACCAGGGAGAAGACCAGAGAGATGGCGCACTGCAGGAAGAGCCCCAGGCTGCCCATGCGGACCCCTGGAGAAGAGGCGACAAAGCGGTCAGAACAGGGGAGGCGGGTAGGGGTCCAATCCAACGGGTAAGGGGACAGCTCAGCAATAGGGGCACAGGACTGCTTCCCAGAGCCCTCCTGCCATCTAACCCGTAGCACCAGGAATCCAGGCTTATACCCAGGCACAGAGAACACGAATGAAGTCACAGGCTGAGGGTACAGAGCGGGAAGGGGAAGCCTCAGCTCTGGGGAAAGGGTGGTGAGAAGGAACAGAAGATCAAGTTCCAGATACCTGAACTGAGAGGGGCTATTCCGAGAGCCCTCAGGGGAGCAGACAACACCCTGAAGGTGTGGCCAGGCTGATCTGCGACCCTGCCTGGGCTCCTCCACTCTCAGGGGACCCTGAACAAGCTCACATCCATTGGGCACGATGCCTTGGATCGCGCTCCCCGGGTATTGTCAAAACTGCCCTATGCCCGTGGAGCTGTGTACTCAGACCAGCTCCTGTTGTTGTTGTTGTTGTCAGTTGTCATGGTTACCCCACATCTGCAGAGCTGAACTGCTCCACGGGGTTTACAAGGCTGTGACCTTGGAAGTAGACCACCCAGGCTGTCTTCTAAGGTGCTTCTGGGGGGATTCAAACCCTCAAGACTCCTGACTAGTCGTGGAGCACTAAAACTGTCTGCACCACCTACAGTCCAGCCCAGGTGCTGAGGAGGAAGCTGAGGCCCAGGGAGCAGAGCACCCAGCCCAGTCACAGGCACCCCCAGAAGAGCAGCCTGGCCTTACCTTCGTCATAGTGTCTGCGGGCCTCGGTGCCTGGCTGAGCCCTGGGCACGCCCTGGTACAGCCCCTCGCCCACGAAGTCCGTGTAAAAGAGCGTGAAGGTCATGAAGGCCATCCAGCTGCACAGCTCAGCCATGAAGAGCCGTCGCAGGGTGCGGGGCACGCGGCAGCAGAGCTGGTGCAGCCGGGGAAACAGGGCGCCCAGGTTCCGGAAGGCCAGGCGCCCGTGGCACGGGCAGCAGTGGGGGGTTCCAGGGGGGATCGACAGCCCCTCGACCGGCTCCGGGGGGCCCAGCGCCGCCTCCTCGGCTACAAACAGCGTGGCGACCGCACACATGAGGAAGATGAGAGTGAGCAGGCCGAAGAGGCACTCCTCCTGGGTGCCCAGGTAGGGGGCCAGGGCGCTGGCATCCCAGTCGATGGCAGGCAGCAGGTAGCCCAGGCAGCCCCCGAGGCTGATCATGAAGGCATAGACGGAGAAGGCCTGGCGACAGTGGTCAGGGTCCCGGAAGAGGTCAGAGAGCAGGGCCTCCAGGGGAGTGAAGCACACTTGGCCACAGAAGTCCAGCAGGCCTACGCCCAGGATGAGCAGTGCCAACTCTAGGGGCCGGGCATCTGCGTACAGCAGCCCCGCCAGCCGGCCGGCCCTCGGAATGAGGAAGAGGCTCAGCAGGACACCCAGGGACAGGGCCCAGATGAAGGGCCTTCGGCGGCCATACCGCCCACGCCAGTGGTCACTGGCCGAGCCCAGGAGTGGGACCGAGACCAGGCCTAGCACGGGACCAATGCCTGCAGGAAAGACAAAGCAGTGCGAGTCAGGGGTTCGGGCCCTCTGGAGAAGGCCAACCTTCTTGAGAAGGGTGGGGATGACGAGATCACAGGAGAGCAAATTCTGTGCTGGCCACTGTGCTAATAAGCACCTCACAGGGACTCTAAGGTTTACTCCGCACAGTAAAGGTGTCACTGAAAACACCGACTGCTTGCAGAGCTGACGAGAATGGATGAAAACACCACGTGCAGCAGAGAACTGGGTTCCACAGGGATTTCAGGGGCTGACTTTTCAGAAGGGGGCTGCCAGGCCTCTCTTCCGCAGTACCTCTGGAGACTCAAGCCTCCAATCTTTGTGTTACTGAGCACACTACCCATTGGCACCACCCCAAGACTCCTTGGGTGTTACTGGCACTCTCTCCCCCATTTTCAGTCAGGGAAACCTAGGCAGGGGTAAGCAGGCAGTGTGGCTCTGAAGCCTGGGCCCCTGGCTGGTCCCCATCCTGAGGCCCATGCCATGCTGCCCACACTGTGGCTTTTGTAGAACTTATCAGCTGTGTCAGGCACCTGCTCAGCCTTGGGTAAGCCACCTAACCACTTACAAGCCTCCGTTTTCTCCTCTCTAAAATGAAATGCCTCAAAGGATGTGTAAGGATTAAGCAAGATAACAGCTGTAAGTTACAAAGGGCTCTTTATATGAAAATAGGAGTCACGTCTCCAGCATCTCCTATAAGCCAGGCTCGGGGAGGGGCCAGGGATAAAGAAGTGGCCAAGGTGTGCCCCTCTACTCTTTCTTCCTCTCTGGGACCTTTCTCAGCCCACAGCCAGCCTCCACCCAGCAGTGTCCACCTCCTCTCCCTCCCTCCATGGGCAGAGGTGCACTGCCTAGGCCACTTCCGGCAGTATGTGTGTGGAGCAGGAGGAAAGGATGTAGTGACTCACCCAGCACCATGGTCATAAACTTCTCCTCCACCCCGACTTCCAGCAGCAAAGGGGGCACATAGGTGATCCCGGCAGCCAGACACACCTCCAGGCCAAAGGTCAGCAGGTTGACCAGCAAGAGCTGGGCTTTGCGATGCCGCAGCAGGCGGCTTACCCATAGTCTCTGGACCATGGTGGGCCCGGCAGGGAGGGTTTGGGGGCTGCTCAGACACTCCAGTCCTGCTTCTGCCCAGCCCTGCTCCAGATGCCCAGGCCTGTCCTCGCTGCCACCAGCTGTCTAGGATCACACCAGGAGCCCATTGCTGCCAGCCCTCGGGTCCAGCTTCTCAATCCAGGCTCAGTGCTGGGTACTGCGAGGCGCCTCGGTGAGGACACATCTCATTACTCAGATCCTAAAAGGGAAAAGGGAGGGGACAGGCGGTAAGCCCTGGGAACCAGGTCTCCAGAATTTGCTCTCAGTTCTCTGAATCCTGTTCACCTCCCGGCCAGCCACCCAGGAGCCACGCCCCCTGCCCAATCAGGAAATGCATGTTAATATTAGCCTAAGGCTGACATAATTAATTAGGTAAATATGATTTTTAAATCTCAGTACACTTCAGAGCCAAACACATGTGGGTTATTCTGTTTTGAAATATCTTTACAACTGCCCTTGCTCACTAGTATGGGTGGCGGGGGGGTGTCAAACCAAGTTGAATTCCCAGCTCCCCAGGCCCTGCGCTCAAGGTGCCTGGAGACCCTCTGCCAGGCCTGACTTGTTTGCTTTTCTCTTTCCACTTCCCAAAGCTGTTCAATTCCCCTTTGTCAAGAGCAACGCTTCCTATTTCTCACTGCTTGGCAGGGAGCCTCATTGCCCCAGAGCCCCCACCTCCAGGACCTGGGGGAGGAGAGCAGTGCCTGTGGTTTGCTGAGCTGGGTTTTTAACCTGTCAGGGAAACCACTTAAAGACAGCTCCCATGGATGGAGCAGCTAGGCCCGAAAACCTTGGAGTTTCTCTCTCATTCAACTTTGACAGGTAAAAACCATTTCCACAAGTGGCCACCCAACTGTCACAGAACGGTGGGTTTCAGGTCCCAACCTCACAAAGGCGTGAAACCACATCACCTGGAAGCACCTATGGTGACGCCAGTGACCACCCCAAGTGGGCAAAATAGCCCACGTCCCCATGTGGCTGAACCCTACTCCTTCAGTGGCTCCCTTCTCAGAAGGCAGCCGCCCCCAACACCAGTATCCCTTCCTGCTGTCCCTCCCCCGGCTAGTGCTTTGATCCATCTGGGGAGTACCACCCTCTGCCCCTAGACAGGAGCCTCCAGAATGTGGGGTCTACTCAGAACTGATGACAAGAGGGAAAATCAAGCCACCATCAAGTGGAGACAGAGAAGGTAAGATCAGTGGAAAAGATGAGTCCTCACCCACTATCCATCTCCAAAGAGAGGCAGAGGCAGCGCTTCAGGCCAGAATGTGGGGGTACCTTCCACTTTCTCACCACTACCACCATGACAGACTCAATGACACTGGAGGGGGGGCACACAGCTACCCCTGCTCTGGGGTACCTCCTCCCACACCCAGCCCTTATTCCTTCCCTCTTCCAATTACCTTGTTCTGCCCTGTTAAATTGTAACCCTCTCAGATTCTCAGTATTTTCAGAAGCAGTAAATTGCACAGGGTGGGGATGGGGGTGTCACAGGGATTTAGGTGGGGGGAGGGGCCTGTTCATCCTGCTCCCTCCAAACAACTGGTGGATTAGAACAGAGTGCCTTTCAGTTTGCAGGGCAGCTTCTTACCACTAGGCCACCAGGGCTCCCTAATCTTAGCACCTCCTAATTTGTAACTTGGACTTTTATCTTTACAAGCGCCATGGGCCTTGCATTGTCACAAGGCCAGAGAGAAATCATTTAGTTGCCAAACCTGGATGAGGCCTGCCCATCCCTTAGCTGCCTCTGGAGTGCTACTGCCCCTGGGCCTGGAGGAAGGGACCTCAGCTCATGGCAGCCTGCTTCCCACACACCTCAGGAAAGATGCACTGCTTTGATGGGAGAAGCAAGTGAGGGCGTATAAAACACCCACCCACTCTGGGTGGGCAACAGACTTAACCAGGCTGCTGTGGGTCCAATTACTGCCTTTCCACAGTGGTCTCCCCATCCCCGCCCCACGAAGAAAGCCAGCCGGAAACTGCAGAGACTGAGGGGTGGTGCTGTCCAGCCTGGGGGGCAGGGTTCTGGGTCAGAAGGCTTCAAGCCTTGGTCAGGGAGCGCCCTGGACACTCACCTGAGTCAGGTTTTCAGGAAACCAGGTCCACCCTGAACAAACAGTCTTTGCCCAAGCTGGCCTCACCCATAGCCCAGGCCCTGGTCCTTCACAGCTCTTTAAAATAAATTGCAGCTCTCCTGCAACCATTAATCACCTCTCCTCCTGCCTGCCTCCCTGCGTCCAGCTGTTCAGTCCTCCTGGGAGTGACGGCGCCTTCCTCAAGGCCACACAGGAGAAAGTAAAAAAGTGTGAAAAGAGGACAGAGCTTGGGCTGCCTCTCCCTTCCTGAGGTGCCTCACTCTATCACTACTAGGCTCTCTACCTGGTCACCAGGGGCACCTGGCCAGGTAAAGAATGCAGAGAAAGGAGCAGGATAGGAAGTGAGCAGGCAAGCAGGCTCCCCAGGCTGCTCCATGGCCCCTCTGCTCTTAGGTTGCTGAGCCCGCCTTCCTCCTTTTGATGTCTGTTCTGCCCTGGGGTCCCAGGAACACTCTTTCCAGTCCCTAAGTTGTCTGAAGAAATCAAAGCCCATAACCACACTCCTCCAAGGCTCTTTTTACTCTCCTGCTCAACTCTGGCCTCAACACTCCCTACTTCAAAGCCAGGGTAGAAGAACAAGGGGACACCGCCAGCACTAGCTCCAGTAACCCACCCATCGCCTCCAGGGACTTCTTCCTTGGGGCACAGAGGCTTCAGGCTGCTTCCTGGTTCCCAGGCTCAGACAGGTCAGAGAACAAGCAGCACCTTCCCCAGCTACAGATCCTGGCTGCAGGCCCGATGCACACATCTCAGCAAAGGTTTATAGTGAGAGGCACATTTAGGAGCTGCCCTGTCTTCTTGAGGGAGACAGCATGGGGACCAGGGTCTAATTCTCTCAGCCTTCCAATTTCTAAGATTCCTAACTCAGAACTGCCTGCCCTGCTGCTTCTGAACCTTGGGCAGGTCTGGCAAACAGAAGACCAATCAGAAAGGGGCAGGGGCAGGTATGCACACCTGGGGAGGAGGGGGCTAAAAGAAGGGGAAAGTAGTGGAAAGCAGAGTTTGAGCTGATCTCCCAGGGAAGAATATGCAACCTTCCAGGGGGGCAAGTCTATCTCACGTTCCAAGCATCTCCTCTCTTCTCTCCAATGCCCCCCAATGATGGAACAGCAAGAAAGCTGAAGGAAACCCAAACCCTCTGGGGATTTTCATGGTGTTCTGTCTAGGTCATCATTCTCTCTCTGCGGGAACAGACTCAAGTGCAGGGAGGCCCTGGCAGACCCACTAAACCAACTCCGGGTTGGTCCTGTGCTCCCCACTCATGCAACATGGGAATTCCCAGGCTGGGAGCCGGGTGTCAGAGATGGAAAAGGCTTGACCCCCCTACTCCAACCATACTCCCCCCCAAGATTCCTAAGGGTACAAAGGTGGTGAGTGAATCAAAGGGCCTCTCCCAGCCTGCAATTCCCAACTGTTGCCCCTGTGCCGCCCACTTCAGGTTGGACCCTAAGCAGGGAGAAGGAGGAAGCAAAACTGAGTAACAGAAATAAACTTGGCCTGAACTTTTCTCCAAAATTCAAAGGGCCAAGTAGAGGAGGCGGAGAAAGACACCCACTCCCGAAGGGAAGGGAGGGTCAGAGGAACCAACCGATAAAGAGGCCTTTCAAAGGGGCTCTTACCACCCCACACGCTGAGGTGGGGTGGGGGGGTGCAGATTCCCTCGCTGACAGAGGCCACAGGCAGCCTGGCTGCAGGCAGCCCGCCCCGCCAATGTCAGGCAGCAATTCTAAGGGCTCTTTATGCAGCAGCGTCCCCACACCCGCCCAGGCACATCAAACGGCCGCAGCCCCCACCCTGATCCCAGGGCTTGGTGACCCCCGAGCCCTCCCTCCACATTCACAAAGACCACGCTGCTTTCTCACACGCTCCTGTGAAGCACGCTCTGCTCCGAGAGCCTTCATGGCCAGCAGGCAGGTGCCCTCCTGCAGAAAAGGAAACGGGACAGGGTAGGACTGGCACAAGGAAAAATGACTCAGCTGAAGGAGGAGGTGGGGTCACCCACGGCCAAGCTCCCTTACACACCCCCACAAGAGGCTATCCCGAATGGCTTGATGGTCAGAGGAACTAAGATGAGAAATGGGACCCCAAGCCTCCAGAAACAATGGGGTTGAAGAGGCCTGGCCCCAAGCTGAGCTCCAAAGGGGCCTCTAGTTGAGGGGTAAGGAAGGCCTCTTACCACTTCCTTGCCCCAGTCCCAGGGGATGAAGGCCCTTCAGCCTCCCTAAATTAAACTTGACACACGCCACTCCCAGAGTGGGCTCCACCCCCACAGCAGCTCAATAACCAGCCTTGGGACTAACTCCACAGAAAGCACCATCCCCTGGCTCCCGGCCAGCAAGGAGGCCTGAAAACCAACATCCTAGTGAGCCAATGAGTTCTCTATCCATCCTGGACCCTGGACAGGGAAGCTTGAGCCATGGGGATTCCCACCTGGGCTGCTTGGGACAGGGATGCAGGCTCAGTGCCTTTCAAGCAGGGTGAGTTCTGACTTTCTGAGCTCAAGGCAGTGAAGGTCAGCTTCTCCAAATCCCACTGTATAAAGAGCCAACTCTGGATTGATCGGCACACAGCTACCTAGCTGGGGTCCCAGACACCTGAGGACATCACTCAGAACGCAGCCTCTCCATCTCCAGGGAGCATGAGAAAGAATGGGGTCCCGGGGTGGGGAGGGGAACCCCACTCACCCCAGGCTTGCTCCCTAGCTCCTGGCCCCCCACCCCCCAAGCCCTGAGGCCAGGGATTTAGAGTTCGCCCTGCTGAGCCGCCTTTTCTTCCCTTGGACTGGAAGCCTTCTGCTTAGCAGCTTGTCAGAGAGAGTGAGGGGCTGCAGGCCAGGACACAAAGGGGGATTAGGGAGAAACCTCTCGGCCTGCAGAGTAATCCATCAAACTCTCTCCCGGCTGCCAGCATCAGCTCCTTCCTACTCAATTCCCCTTCCAGCTGCTGTTGGCCCCCCACCCCTTCGGGCTCCTGAGCCCTGTCACATCATGGGGCAGTACAGAGAATCCCAGGCCCTGGGGGGGCAGCAGGGCACACCACAGACACTGGGAAAAGGGCAACGGCCCCCTCCTCCCACTTACCCCCCACGTGTGAAAACCCAACAGGT